AGGTAGGTGTGTGAATGTTTGGGAGAGTCAGCTGTGGAAAAACATATGCTATGATGAGCAGTGATTACAGAGTAAAGGCACGGCTCCAAATGTGTGGTTTTGCTCTCTTTTTACAGCTCTCCTATACATTCCTTTGAAGATGAAGGAACTGTTGTTGTTTTGGTTTTTCTGTTCCTCTGTTCACCATACAACATTCAAAAGTTTAGAAAACTTGACTAAATTTATGTTTCTTGTGATCTTAAAAAATGCTAATTGTACCTGCATAGGATTTTTTTCCTCTCATACAATTTGTTTGTTTGTTTCTTTGTTGTTTGAAAAAAGTAATAATAATAATAAATAAATAAAATAAAAAAATTCAGAAATATTTATTTATTTTTGGAAAAATAGTGCACAGAAAAATAATTATTTTTGTGCTCCCAAAAATAATTTTTGTAGTTGGAAACTGAATAGAAAAGGAAGAGCAGTTACTAAGTGTCTAGCATAAACGTAAACATCAACAGTGTGTAAAAAGCCCCCCTAAAATGTAGTTTTTTTTAATAAAACTGAATGTATACATATTTGTATTACTTTATTTTATTTTATTTTAGAAATAGAATAATTTTTTTTGAGTTGGAAACTGGATAGAAAAGGAAAAGCAGTCAATAAGTTTCTAGAACACGTTAACATCAATAGTGTTTAAAAAGCATCCCAAGATGCACCTCACAAAGTTGGTTGAAAATTCTACTATTACTCCAAGATGTTGAAAATAATAATAATAATACAGAATGAGTATATGTTTCTAACCTCTGACTGTTAGTGTATGTGTCAGCACCTTTACAGGAGCAAATGAACAGGCAGTGGCCAAATTACTATGCGGAAAAGGCCCAAGCGGTGAACAGAGGCTCAGGGTGAGGTGGAGGTTAAGTTCTTCTCAGGACAGAACCTGTGCAGAGCGATTCCAGTGCACTCATCTGGACCACACACATGCCCGTGTGGCTGCCATCTCTCGCTACAGCACTAGGTGAAAGGAGATAGCACTGATTTAGAGGAGCGGACTGTGAAAGACAGACAGAGATAATCCTTGTCACCATGTTTTCACATAAACACATGTGTCTTTGAGCAGAGCTCCTCACACGGGCTGCCAAAGAGGAACCTGATCCTCCCAGCGGCTGGAGCCGGCGCTCTGTTCACACAGCACAGGGAATCCAAACGAGCACTCAGCTCAGAGCGCACACAGATCTCAGATCAGATCGGGCCGCCGCTGCTTGCTTTGTACAATGTGGACGGGGAAACCAGCTGGTCTTCAATCAGCATTTTCTGAGAAACTCCACCCATGTTCCAGCGCTCTGTCCACCCACACCCAAACAAAAAAGATCAGACGCGCTACTGGACATCCTTCCATACAGAATGACAGCCGCCTGGGTCCATATCGACGGACCAATCGGAGAACAGGGCGCCTAATAATAATAACAGTGCATGTTCTTTTGGAGTAACAGGATGTCTTGACTCTCGTGAGTTGGCTGAAAAGCTAAAGGAAAACCATTTGTGTGGTTGCGTGTGTCTTCATGTGTGCACAGAAGTGTCTTTATGTGTACATAAGAGTGTGTGTGCTAGAGCTTTCACGAATACTCATATATATATAGTATTGGAATACTGAATACTATTGAATACTTAGGACCATGTGATATTTCAGTTGTTCTTTTTTAATAAATCTGCAAAAATGTCAACAATTCTGTGTTTTTCTGTCAATATGGGGTGCTGTGTGTACATTAATGAGGAAAAAAAATTACTTAAATGATTTTAGCAAATGGCTGCAATATAACAAAGAGTGAAAAATTTAAGGGGGTCTGAATACTTTCCGTACCCACTGTATATATATAGTGAAAATGAAGTGACGTGTGGCCAAGTATGGTGACCCATACTTGGAATTTGTGCTCTGCATTTAACCCATCCAAGTGCACACACACAGTAGATAACACACACACACCGTGAACACACACCCGGAGCAGTGGGCAGCCATATTGCTGTGGCGCCCGGGGAGCAGTCGGGGGTTCGGTGCCTTGCTCAAGGGTCTCACCTCAGTCGTGGTATTGAGGGTGAAAGAGAGCGCTGGATATTCACTCCCCCCATGACAATTCCTGCCAGACCTGAGACTCGAACCCGCAACCTTCAGGTTACAAGTCAGACTCTCTAAACCAGTGATGGGTAAACTTGGCCCTTCCAGGCCACTTTCCTGCAGAGATTTGATCCAACCCTGATATGACTCACCTGCCTCTAGCCTTCTAGTAATCTTAAAGACAGTGGTTAGCTGGTTCAGGTGTGTTTGATTAGGGTTGGAGCTAACCTCTGAAGGAACATGGTCTGGAAGGGCCAAGTTTGACCATCCCTGCTCTAAACATTAGGCCATGACTGCCTATATTATATATATATATATACACACATATACAGTGGGTACGGAAAGTATTCAGACCCCCTTAAATTTTTCACTCTTTGTTATATTGCAGCCATTTGCTAAAATCATTTAAGT